CCAGAAGTGAGTTTGAGCGTCACTTTTCCCTTCCTTGCAATAGCAAATGCAGTTGCATTTCCCATGTACAGATTTTCTCCACCATCAATAGATTGGTAAGTAACAAACAAATTCCGATCAGCACACACATGCCTTGTTGCTCCTGTATTAACTTACCAGTCATTGGAATTAGTTAATAAATTGACTTCAGATACAACTGCAACAAACTTGTCTTCTGCAACGTTTGCTTGATTGGAATTCTCAGAATTCTGATCCTTCTTGTGGCGGCATTCCTTTGCCCTATGACCTGTCTTTCCACAAACCCAGCAACCTCCTTTGATTTTCTTGAAGGTTTTCCCTTTCACAGCCGTGAGTGCTTTCTTTGCAAAATCTTTGCCTTTGTTTTTCTGATTATGCCTTACCTTGTGTGAGTCACCTCCTTCCACAACATTGGCTTTTGCCTCCAACGATGAGACATCATACTTCTCATTTCTACGATGATCCTCTTCCACACGCAGTTTGAGAATCAATTGATCTATGCTCATGTCCTCAGTTAGATGCTTCAGATAAATCTTAAAGTCCTTCCAATCTGAAGGCATTTTCTCTATTATAGAGCCAACCACAAAACCTTCTTTCAAACCAAGATTTTCTTTATCTAACTCATGAACAATCACTTGGAGTTCTTCAACTTGTTTGACAACAGACTTTGCGTCACTCATCTTGTAATTCAGAAATTTTCCAATTACAAACTTCTTGGAACTTGCCACTTCAGACTTATACTTCTTGTCCAAAGACTCCCACAGTTCTTTCCCTATCTTATATGATGAATAAACATCATACAGAGAGTCATCTAAAGCATTCAGAATGTAGTTCCTGCATAGAAATTCATTGTGAGTCCAGGCTTCTACAGCCTGCAGAATTTCTGCAGGAATATCTCCCTCTTCTGGAGCTTTAAGGGCCTCAGAAGTAATCACATGACTCAAGTTCAGAGTTGTCAAATAGAACAACATTTTTCTGTTGCCAACGTTTGAAATCAACTCCCTTGAATTTCTCAGGTTTCTCAACGTGTTGCTTGATGACACCAACATTTGATTGATCCATGGTTTCACAATAATTTCGGTCGTAAATTGTTAGAAACCAATCAAATGTCACTAACACAATATATATTTTGCACAGTTTATTTCGAATGCGAAATTCAACAACAAATACTATAAATATAAAAATACAAACACTTAAGTAAATTGCATATAAAATCACAAATCACTGACTTGTTCTTAAAGATATAGGCTTGCAAATGCAATCACCTAAGGCAGAAATTCGCCCCTACACCCGTGCAGTAGTTCAACGGATGTCTATCTTGCAGAATACAACTATCTAATCCAAGTTCTTGCACTCGAACTTGGATTCTTGGCGAATTGGTTGTGCGTTTCTCTATGTAAAATGAAAAGGAAGCGTTGGAAAATCTATGTTAAGTTTCTGATCTTATTGCCATATATATAATGGCATAAATTGAACAGACATAACTGTTCATTCTTATCAGTTATAAAACTGACATAATTGTTCAATCAGTTTTATCCCTTCAGAAAAAACTGAATCTAAAAAAAATAAAAAAACGTAACTTGTGTTTTCTTCCATCCGAACCCCAAGACCCAAGGCATTGACATTTAATATATACACCAAAACCCTCCAAGTCTAAGGCCCAAGGTCCATGGCCTTGGCCCAATTCTTTTCAAACCATAAGTGTGAGGACACACTTATAAAGATGACTTTAAAATGGGAAATGGGAGATGTGGGACTCCCATTCCCACATATGCACAAATGTTCCAACAAAAACTCCGTTAAGTGTCCTGGAGTTCTTGGCCGGAAGTTTGGATAATTTTCAAAGCTTCGTAACTAAATCGTTTCTTAACCAAATTCCACCCATAATATATCAAAATGAAGATAGGAAAATGTAGAATAAGATTATATATATTTAGAAGCCCAATGGCTGCCGGAGATAACTGAAAAATAGCCTCAAAATTGACTGTTCTGAAGGAAAACTAGAAAACTCTCCGGAAACTGGGTAAACTTTAAACGTTCATAACTTCTTCAACACTCAACGAAATCAAGTAATTCAAAAATAGAAATCATACTTCTCGATGAGAAGAAGACAATGGTTTTTTTTTTTTTTACAGCTAACTAGCCATGGTTTGGCCAAAAAACGGCTCGAAAATGGTTGTCTTAGTCTCGAGTTAGCCATTTTTGAGCCGTTTTCTAAACCAAACCAGGGCAATTTAGCCATCTAAAAAGGTACCATTCTCTTTTTCTCGTTGAGAAGTATGATTTCATTTTTGAATCATTTGATTTCGTTGAGTATTGAAGAAGTTATGAACGTTTAAAGTTTACCCAATTTCCGGCGAGTTTTCCAGTTTTCCCTCAGACCAGTTAACTTTGAGGCTATTTTCTGGCCATCTTCGGCATCCATTGGGCTTCCAAATAGGTATACTCTTATTCTACACTTTCCTATATTCATTTTAATATATTATGAGTCGAATTTGGTTAAGAAACGATTGAGTTACGAAGCTTTGAAAAATTGCCCAAACTTCCGGCCAAGAGCTTTGGGACACTTAACAGAGTTTTTAACGGAATGACCAAAATGATGGATGATGGACAATCTCAGGGACCACTTTTATCGATTTGAAATGTTAGGGACCAAAGTGATGAGTTATGCAAATCTTAGTGATCATTTTGGCTATTTAGCCGGAAAATAATGAACCTGTGAGGAGAAACCCTCCTAGCACACAAAGCTATGAGGATCAGATGCTCCCAAGCATTACTACTTTTGTGGTGAGAGCTGAAGAGGGAGAAACTTCTTTTTGATTTTCAAAATTTGACAAAAGAAACCAGAGCAGAAGTGCGTACAGATTTAATCGTGGATTGGGAACCAAGAAAGAGACATGTTAAACCAAGGGGGTTTTCAGGCTATTCATAACAACTCTACCACAATCACATGCTGCAATAGGACTGCAACATAATGCTGAAGATTTGATTGCCCTTAGGTTAATTTGACGAAACCACATCTCCCAACCAACCCAAAGGTCTTGACAGAATAAGACGCAGCATCTTACCTACCTGCAAATAAATTCCCCAAACACTCAAATTTCAGCTTGAAAATCGAAAGGAATAATCTTCAGAGAGACCCAAATCGATAGGAAAATTTTACTCGAACTTATAGATTGATTCTTGCTTCATTTGTTTGGCAATCTGATGATTTGAACTGAAAATCGGTTAAGTTCGAGAGCAACATGGTAGAACAAAACTGCTATACTTATTGGCTATGAGATTTAAAAACAAAACAAAACAAAAACTTGCTTGTGCAAAATTACTTTAACGCTCATATTTTTTTTTTAATATTTTCTTTCAATTATGTTTTAAAGGATATAATTATAGTTTCATTAGTTTTTGGTTTTTTTAACGATTAATTAATTTTTGGTTAATAAACAAGATTTTATTAATATGTAGTTTAGATATTGGCATGCCAATTTATTCAACTTTAGTTCTATTATACATTTTTCTCTTATAGGAAAAGGTTTTAAATTCGAATTATCTTCTTCCCTTGAAACAAAAAAAACAAAAAAAAAAAAAAAAACGAAATATTTCAAATTCGGCCAAATTGCATTTAATGATCCTTATACACAAATTTTTGTCCTTATAGTGTTTTTTTTTTCACTGTAGTCCGAGTCCAATATATCAACTAAGTTGATTTTTTGCAACAAAACGTTTGCCTTATTTGACGGATCAGAATAACAATGCTAACAGAATGAAACTACCAAGGTAAAAAAACGCAACAAAAGAAACTAGAATGAAAGTGACAATTCGAGCAAACTGCATGATTTTTTTTCTTAATGTTCAAATATGGGATGCCACCAGTACTACAATATTGTAGTATTACTCCACACTGATAACTAGGAAAGTTATGTGGATGATTAATTTGATATATAATTATGAATGACACTAGTTTCGGCTCTTAATATCTCTGTATAAAAAAAAAGTAAAAAAAAAAGTTATTTTTATCATATATTTGTAACATTTTTATACCTTCTAACAGACATATGATCCACATGTATTGGTAATCCTACTTTTATTAAAGAAATGATACAAATAACCTACAAATAAATAATAAGTGTAACATTATGCATGTGAATGCCACGTTAATATCATTATATGGCTATACAATTTATGAAGTCAAATTTCATTACGAAAAAAAGAAAAAGGAAAAAACAACACTTCAACGTCAGTCAATTTTAATTTTCTTTGGGATTTAGACGTTGCCTCCCCCTACATTATACAGCTGACGAGCAATAATTTTAAAACTGACGACCAGTAAAAACTTCTGTAGTTGAGCAGATTATTTCTTTGGCATTGGGAAACGATAGAAAATGAAAAGCCTCTGCAATCTGCATGTTGCATCACAAGGGCTGCACAAAGAGGGGACCAAAGGGAAAAAAATTCGAAAAAGATATGCCCCTACCAATTAAAATTTCCACTTGTATCTATAACAAAAAGTTGATACTCCGAAGCATCATATAATTTCGCTTCCCTAAATCCAACCAACTCTTTTGAGCTCTGATCTCATCTGAGGCATGACAAATCACACTATCCAGTTGGCAAAAGAGTAGATTGTCAATTTCCTCCCTAAACTTTCACCGAACTTTCAATTTACTTCCTAAACTTTTAAATTGGAAAATCAAGAACTTGAACTAATTTTTTTGGCCAAATTTTCCCCTACTGTTAGTGTTCTATAGATTAACGTTAACTCTTATTACGTGTACATCACATGACTCTAAGAACAAAAACATCACTTCGCTAGACTTTCCAACATAAAAGCTATAGAATCACACAAATTTGTACAGATCAACATTCTAGAAATCTAGGGTTTTCAACTAAACTACCCTCACATGTCATGCACAATTTTTTTATTTAACAAAAATTTAGATGGAATGAATAGAAAACTAACAGCATGAGGGAAATCAGCCAAAAAATTAGTTTAAGTCCTTAATTTTTCAATTAAAAAGTTTAGAGAGAATCGAAAGCTAAGTGAAAGTTCAGGAGAGAAGCCAACAGTTTACTCGGTTGGCGAATATATGAAGATACAAAGCCTTCTAAACTTCAATCAAGTTATTTTGGCTAAGAAGAATTCGTACACAAGCACCGAAAAAACCGAAACAAAAGCCGAAAACCTAGCAGCAAAACTTGTAATAGGATCAGAATTTGTGGCGCATTGCTGCATGCATTTTATGAGTTACAAACTGAGACAGACATCATGTGCAGAACACATGCTTCCATCTCTAAAGAACTTGTGAACTAAATCTGTCTTCTCCCACCACTTGTTTCTTTTGATGCCAAAATCCAGTGCATGCAAACGGACTTACAACACAATTCGTCTACCTAATCGCTTAAAGGCTAAAAGACCTGACAACTTTCGCTGCTTCACTTCGATCTGTCACACATCACCGAGCACAGCAGCTACTTTAGGAAAACACCTACTATCAACAGACACATGCTTCCATATGCAATTATCCATAAGGGCCAATTCACTTGCCGTCCTCTCCATCACCATTTCCACGCCCGCCGGCTGAGGTCCCCTGGCCATCACCACCTGCCCCAGACTCAGAGGCGTCTTGCTTGCTTCCTCCACGCCCATCATTTGGGTCTCCAGCTGAATTTGGGCCGCCACTACCACCACCATGTGTGGCCTCAGTATGAAGCATGGAAGGCATGCCGTTAGGCCCTCCAGGTCTCATTCCCATTTGCCCTTGCATGGCTTGTTGGTGCTGCTGTGGATCGTGCATTTGATGCATGTTATTGAATTGCATCGGCATCTTTGGGGAGAAAATACCCTGTTGCTGAGCCATTGCTGCTGCCTGAGGATGTTGCATGTAATATCCTGCCTGTTGCATAGCAGGATGTGGGGCCATCTGCAAGTGTTGAACATAGATGATAAGCATGGATAGAAAAGACGAATCAGTAAAACATCGAGTCATGCTTACTACCCCCACCTGGGGAGGGGCAGCTGTGGCCTGTGGTTGCGCATCGGCAATTGCTGCTAAATACATCAGATTCTTTTGAAGCAGAGCCTGGTACCTAAATCATCAAATTTGCAATAAGAAAAGTCATATCCAAAAATCATAATAGGGAGACCGCCATGAAATGAATGGCCAACGATACCCCCCCTCCCATATCAATAAATGTGTAAAATCAGTTAATCCAACAATTATAATAGTAAACAAGTTCTTAACATTAAGGATCTTGTTATCAATGATACCAATACAAAACATGAGGCTAGTTCGAAATTCTAACATCTCTAACCAGTCAGATTAAGCTCTCTAATTTCTAAGAGACAAGTGCAATCAATTGTATATACAGCCCCAACATATAACTCAAAACATAATTCACACAAATGCAAGTGTGTCTGAGAGAGAGAGAGAGAGAGAGAGAGAGAGAGAGAGAGAGAGAGAGAGAGAGAGAGAGAGAGAGGGCGGGTTTACTGAGCACACTCAGCAAGTTTTCCAAGATTTTGATTATCCAATATTGCCAGAATCAACTTTTTGTTGTCATCAAGGTACTGCATCAAGAATTTAAAAACATATTATTAATAGATACTTTAAATTCCGACACATCAAGTGAGATCCAATATCATACTTAACAATCAAGGTGGATATCCAGAAATATCAACAACAAAATAACTGTACCACTGACAACTTAGATCCAAGTTATATCAATGGTGCCAGTAATTATCAGCCTATTATAAATTCAGGGGAAAGTAATTAAGGCAATTACAACCATACATGAAGAGAGCAACATTGTACATGATGCGAAAAAAGGCTAGAGTCATCCTAAAATCTGAATATGACAAGTAACAACATAAGATACTAGCATCTAATGCTGGTAATGACCATCGTATGTCTTAATTCTTCATCAATTTTAGGTTCAAAAAGCATAATTCAACCTTTCAAAAGAGCTTCTTGCTTATATGGAAATTTTAGGAAAAACATCAACCCTATCTGTTACTTTATCTAACTACTCACTAGCTTAGGGTTTCAGACAATGAAGCTTTGGGAGAGAGTAAATGAGCGTAGATTGAAGCAAGAGACACGGTCTCAGACAATCAATTTGGGTTCATGCTAGGGTGCTCGATTATGGAGGCAATCTATCTCTTACAAAAATCGATGAAATGATATAGAGGCATGCAAAAGAATTTGAACATGGTCTTTATAGATTTGGAAAAAGCATATGATAAGGTCCCAAGAAAAATTCTTTGGAAGATTCTAGAGAGAAAGGAGTATGAGTAGCACATATCCAAGTAATAAAGGATATGTATGATATGTATGGTGGAGCAAGGACTACAGTAAGAACTCATGAAGGACAACTAAAAGCTTTCCCATAACCATAGGGTTACACCAAGGCTCAACTTTAGGTCTTTACCATTTTGCATTGGTAATGGACGAGTTAATGACACATATTCAAGATGATATCCCTTGGTATATGCTTTTCGCAGAATACATGGTGAGTGCTGACGCATGTGGGAGTAAATACAAAACTTAACCTTTGGCGGGAGGTCTTAGGAATCTAAAGGTCTTTGCCTAAACAGAATATATAGGGTGCAAGTTATGTGGGAATGGGGTTCCGAATGAGATAGGGATGAGGATTAGAGACTAGGAAGTACCAAAGAGTCGACCCTTTCGTTATTTTGGATCTATCTTGCAAAAGAATTGAGATTTGAATGGATATCCCAACCATAGAATACAAGCTAGATGGATGAAATGGAAGAGTGCATTGGGTGTGCTGTGAAATTGTCTTTCGCTACTAAAACTCAAGAGAAAATTTTATATGACGACAATAAGGCCATAAATGCTTTATGGCACCGAATGTAAGCCTTTTAAAAATGAGTGTAACAAAGATGATAATGCTTCGTTGGATGTGTGGGCACACAAGAAATGACAAGATTAAGAACAAGGATATCCGAGCTAAAGTAGGAGCGGATACAATTGAAGATAAGATAAGATAAGAGAAATCCGGTTAAGGTGGTTTGGACATGTGAACCGAAGATCTATAGATGCTCCAGTTAGAAAATGCAATTATGAGATAGAGACTCGGGGAAAAAGGGGTAGATGAAGACCTTAAAGACTTAGAGCGAGAATTTAAGAAAAGAGATAGAGTACTTGGAGCTAATGGAATACTTGGAGCAAAACCCGACACAATGGTGTTCTAGGATTCATACAGCTGACCTTAGTGGGATAAGGCTTTGTTGTTGTATCAAGAATCCTGGTCTCGTAAACAAGAACATACATCTTAGGTGACAAGAGAGCTATATCATGTCTGCCTCGATCCCCAATTCAGGGAAGACTGGTAACCAGTGAAACAAAATCTGCACAGCAGTAGAGTAACTAGATAGCTTCTCAACATGAAATCCAATGGCCAGAAGGCTGATCGAGGGAAAAATCTAAACAGACATTAAAAAGGCACTTCACACAGATTAGGAGAATAAACTACAAGAAATACTAAACATCCCTAATGTTTCAACAAAACATTGGACAAGCACCAACTGAAGACTATGTCCCGTGGGCTTTTTTTTCATATAACAAGAAGAACGTTCCCCTATTACTATGAACTAGGATTCTGTATTTGGTGAAATAAGTTAATAATCTTTAGTTATTACACTTGACGTTGCAGAGGAAACACTGCCAGAAATTGAACTTTGTTAAAAAATTTCTTTCATACCCTGAATGGGCAACAATTGATTAACTACCCTACCGAGGGGGGAAAAATAAGCTTTGTTCCTAAAAATCTTTCATGTGCCACATGCTCATGATTACTTGACTCCTATGTGAAAACCACTTAAAGTAGACACAATTATACACATTAATTAGACACCACCTTTTGAGTTAATATTTCATTTCCGTCTGCACAGACGCTGCTTACAATATGAAACAGTTGTTCTTTTCACACTCTCAGCCAACAGTAGTTCAAAACTCTGTAAATGATCATCACCTATGATACATCAGTCCACCATAAAACTATACAACAACAGCGGGACTTATCGAATTCCTCCCTAAATATCGTCAGCTAAAGGGCTCTCTTATATGCAGAACAAAATTTAACAAATTTTATTCAAGTAATCACAACTAACATAACAAAAAATTAAGGAAAAACCCGGAAAACAATTAACAGTTAACAGTTTCAAATACACAAGGGAAAAAGGGTACCTTCTGAATTTGTTCGGTGGTGATGTTGGTGGGAGGAAATGAAGGCATGACGGGGATCATTTGTGGTGGCTGCTGCATCTTTTTTTCTTCCAAAATTTTCTCTGGTTTGAGGAATACAAAGCCCTAACCCTAAATCAGCCCCCAAAAGAGAAACAAAATCAATTAGAAGCAGAATTAAGAGGAAAAGGGACGAAATTAATGGGGTTGAGAGACAGAGAGAGACAAGGGAAGGGCGGTCGAGTGAGAGTCGAGGAAAGGGGGAGGTGGGAACAAAGATTTTGAAAGCGGATTTAGGGGAACATCTTTTCGGGTTTTCGGTTTTCGGTTTTGGATGTCGACGAGGTTTCTCGACTTTTAAGGTCAAAAGGCTCCAAAATAAAACAAAAAATAAAAATTCTTTTTATAATTTCTACATTTACCGCTTTAATGCGCTTACGAAAATTACTCATGTTAAGCACAAAAGTAATATTCTTTTTCACTTGGTACAATACGTTATAATATTATTATAAGAGCTGATCTTAAATTAATTATGAGATAACATAGAATTTATGTAGAATTTTACTTTGAGAGAGTTCTCATAATATCTTTGATAATGATGCCGATTACTAATAACCAACTATTTAATACATAGTATTTATGTGTACATAATTGATACTTAAATTGTCTATATTATAAGAGTGATTGTGTTTGATAATTAAGATTTGATCGTGGAATTGGAAACCATCAATTTAGTTCGATGAGAAAAATCCAAATCTTCAATCTATTGAAATTTTCATTAAAAAAACATTTCTAAAAATATAAATAATTTACCTTTTCTGCCATCTGTGAAAATATTTTAGTATAAAGAAATTAATTAAGTTTTTGTTCAAAAGTATAAAGAAATTATTTGTTTGTTTGAGAAAGAGAATAGAGAAATTTTATTCATATGTAAAATTCAAAGAAATGAGGAAGAAAAACTCATCGTATACTATAATCATCATTTAATTAACTAGTTTTTTTTAATTAGTAGTTTATTAAATAATAAATTATATTTAAAAATCTGATTAATTCAAATGATATGACTGTTCACATTAAATATCATGTGGCATGAAAATGTGGTACAAATCCATCCTATGAATAGCATTCCTCGAGAAAGAAAGAGAGAACTGACACGGTGGAATGAGTTTGTGACAGATCCTCCGACACGCCCGAAGTACCAAACTCAGTTACTACTGTTGGAGTAAAAGTCAGAGGAGAAGTCGACTTTTCACTCAGCAAAGTCCCTCCCCACTTCCAACTCCAAATCCCGGAACACCTTAATTCTGGCTCCTGACATCTGGAAACGCCTCTTCCCACCGCGAACCAGGCGGCCAATCACCCTCCCCCAGTTCCCAATCGGCATATCTCGGCCGTTCCGAATCCCAACCAATCCCGGAATGAAGATAAACCTCTTCAGGCTCTGCTCCGGCCTCAAAGTCATCGGCTATTTCATGATCCTCCTCGTTGCTGCCATCATCTCCGTCTCCTACTATGCAGTCGTCGTCGTCACTTGGGGACCCAAGCTGCTCTACGGCGGGGTCCACTCGTTTCTAGCTTTCTTCATCATCGTAATGTTCCATATTCTGGTAATTCTCAACTTGTTCAGTCATGGATGCTTCAAGTTTTCTCTTTTTTTTTTCTTTTTTTTTTTTTTTTTTTTTTTTTTTTTTTTTTTTCTTTTCTTTTTGCTGTATTTGAATTTTTATTGAAGGGTATTTGGAAAAATTAGAAATTATGAACAACCCACTATTTATTTTGCAAAAAGGATTTGTTTTTTGTTTTGTGGGTTGTGTGTTAATTCCAGTTGATTGATATGGTTAGATAGCGTTTTGGTACATCAATTAGACTGATAGCTGCTGCAATGGGCACAATTTAGTTTAGTTTGAACAATTTACTAATTTAGATTAATGGATGAGCTTGGACGAAGTTGGTCTCGAATGTCTGACGAGCTAATAAGATTTGGATTTGAAATGAGACCCGAAGTTTGGGGAGACAAATCAATATCGGGTTCAGTTTTGCTTGCTGGTATACAACTCCTCTAAAAAACATAGTAAGTAGAGAGGTACATTTGATACTTATATCGAGAACCCATGGGAGTTTTGAAGAAAGTTTAGGTTTCACCATAAAACCAATTGGCAATATGGGGAGTAGCCCAACTTACTTATAAGCACTTGCAAGGTCCATCCTCTCATCAATGTGGGACGCATTCTCAACACATCCCCTTACATGTGATGAATTTTCAGGCCAAACGCGTGGACAATACGAATTGGGTGACGTGGAGCGTGTTGAGAAGTCAATGATATCATCCCTGATATCTTGGCTTAGTTTTAGGAAACTATTTTGTAAATTGTTTATAATTGATTTAGAAATCTGTAAAACCTAGGAAATCTGTTACCTAAATTGGTTAGATTATTTGTAAAGATCTTTACCTAAAGACTTAGCAATAGAAGAAATTAAAGAACCTGGTTAGATCTCAATATTTGTATAAATACTCTTCTGAAGAAAAATTAATTTACAAAATTTGTGGTATACGAGAGCTAGGCCGAAACCCTAGTTCCTTCCTCTGCCCTTTGTTCTTTGCTATTTTCACATAGCCTTTTTTCGTCAACCTCCATGGCTACCGACGCAAGTTCTGGAAGCAAATTCAATGCTAAGGCTGATGCTTCCAATCCTCTTTTCATTCATCATTCTGATCATCCAGCCATGATGCTGGTTTCGAAACCCTTGAATGGGGATAACTATTCAACCTGGTCTCGTGCTATGAAGATCTCGCTGAGTGCCAAAAATAAACTTGGCTTTGTTGATGGCACTGTCCTGCAACCTTCTGTCAAGACCATGCCGGACGATCACGCTTCGTGGCAGAGATGCAACGACATGATCGTTGCGTGGATTATTAATTCTATTGACTCGGATATTGCTGATAGTATCTTATATATGACTGATGCTCATGCGATATGGGAGGAATTGCGTGAGCGATATTGTCAAAGTAATGCTCCCCGAATTTTCCAAATACAACGGGACATTGCTTCACTTACACAAGATCAACTTTCCATTGCTGCGTATTACACGAAGATGAAAAGTTTGTGGGATGAATTGTCGTCATACAGTGAATCTGTTTCTTGCACCTGTGGAGCACAGAATGAGAGGAACAAGTTGATGCAATTTCTTATGGGACTCAATGACTCCTATAGTGCTGTTCGAGGACAGCGCCTGTTGATGAATCCTTTACCTACGGTTCGTCAAGCCTATGCATCTATTTCCCAGGAGGAGAAGCAATGAAGCCTTGCTTCTTCTCGAGTTACTACAGACGTAGCAGCTATGGCAGTACGTCAACCTAGTTCAAAGTCTTCTAATCGCAAACCTTTGCATTGCACTCATTGCGATCAAGACTACCATACCATTGATACCTGTTATCAGCTTCATGGATATCCACCAGGACACCGTTTGCATAAAGTTAAACCACAGAAGGAAAACCAGGAAACAGCGACCAAAAAAAGATCGGGGATCTTCCTCGGCGAATCATGTCTCGGAAAATGCAGCCACCAAAGAGGAGTTGCAGTCCGTCATGTCTGGACTTTCTGATGCCCAGTTTCAACAGATTCTACAAATCATGAATGGTCAGAGCCGTGAGGAACAGCCACAGGCCAATGTCGCTAAGACAGGTTTGTCGAACTCTCCCTTGCATCTCCATCGATGGATAATCGATAGTGGTGCAACGGATCACATCACTTCTTCACCCGAATTGCTTACTGGTGGTGTTAAAAATAAGAATATGTCTCCTGTTTTGTTACCCAGTGGAGAGCAAGCCCGCATACTTTCCATTGGCCATGTCCCTCTGAGTTTTACTTTTAAATTGCAAGATGTGTGTGTGTGTGTGCCTACTTTTAAAGTAGATTTGATGTCAGTAAGTCGTATTACGAGTGGCTTACATTGTTCAGTAACTTTTTTTCCTTCCTGGTGTATTATGCAGGACCTAACGACGAGGACGGTGATTGGTTTGGGTAAGCAAAGAGGCGGGCTATACTACTTGGTGGCCTTGGCTCCTGATCAGTCTAAGTTTCCTCGACGGTTCTGCAACCTTGTGCTTTCACCAACGGAGCTCTGGCATCGGCGTTTGGGTCACTTGTCATCCTCTCGTCTAGATTTCATGTCCAAACAGTTGTTACATTTCCCTTTTGCATCTAATAATGCTTGTGATATTTGCCCTTTAGCCAAGCAACATCGATTACCTTTTACTGTTAGTTCAATTTCATCTAATCAACCCTTTGTTTTGATTCATTGTGACATCTGGGGACCTTTTAAAGTTGCATCTACTTCTCGAGCCAAATATTTTTTAACCATTGTCGACGATTATTCTCGCTTTACATGGATTTTTCTTATGCAACACAAACATGACACACAATCTCTTCTCAAGGATTTTTTTTCTTTTGTTAAAACCCAATTTAATACTTCTATTCGTAATATCCGTGTTGACAATGGTGGGGAATTTCTTTCCCTTCGTGATTTCTTTAAAGATCATGGAGTGATTTACCAACACTCTTGCGTTTATACGCCTCAACAAAATGGGGTCGTCGAACGCAAGCATCGTCATATACTTGAAACTGCTCGTGCCTTACGTTTTCAAGCTAATCTTCCCCTCCATTTTTGGGGTGAATGTGTGCTCACAGCTGTTCATCTCATTAACCGTCTTCCTACACCCATTCTTTCCAAGCAAACACCGTTTGAACGTTTGTATTCTAAACCTCCTACCTTTTCACACCTTAGGGTCTTTGGTTGCCTCGCTTATGCCACTGATGTCAATGTCACTCACAAATTTTCTCCTCGTGCCCACAAATGTATTTTTTTGGGATATCCCAGTGGTCAGAAAGCCTACAAATTATATAACCTCACCACTCGCCAAATTTTTACCAGTCGTGATGTTGTCTTCCATGAAAATATTTTTCCTTTTCACACATCCCCTTCTTCATCTTCCCCTCAACCTATGTCTTTCTCCAACCCACTTCTTGAACCTTCTTCACCTGATCCCGTGTTACCCTCGGTCATCCACCCCTCTGACCCTATGCTCTTTGTTGAGCCGACCTCTTTCGCTGATGCCGAGTCTCCCGCGCCTCCTTCTCCTGCCTCGCTACCTGCATCTGCTGTTCCTGACCTCACGCTGTCCGTGTCTGAGCCTGCACCTGCTCCGGCCCCGGTGCTCCGTCGTTCCAGCCGCCATTCTTCTCCGCCACCCAAGTTACGAGATTATGATTGTCCTACTCTCAAGCTTACCCAACCCCATCCTCCATTGTCTTCGTCGTCTGGTCGCACTCCAGGTACACGGTATCCACTCGCTAATTACCTTACTTACCATCGTTTCTCACCCACACAACAATCTTTCCTTGCACATATTACTCGACAGGTTGAACCTCGGAGTTATGAGGAAGCAGCTCGTTTTCCTCATTGGCAAGCTGCCATGGCTTCCGAATTAGCGGCATTGGAAGCCAACTGCACTTGGTCTCTTACTCCCCTTCCCCGTGGCAAAACTCCCATTGGTTGTCGTTGGGTTTACAAGATTAAGCATCGTTCTGATGGCTCCATTGAGCGTTATAAGGCACGTTTAGTTGCCAAGGGCTATACCCAGCTTGAGGGTGTTGATTTCCATGACACGTTTTCTCCCACTGCCAAAATGGTCACTGTTCGCTGTTTGTTGGCTCTTGCTGCTTCTCGGCAGTGGTCTCTTCATCAGTTAGACGTTCACAACGCTTTTCTTCATGGTGACCTTCATGAAGAAATTTATATGACTCTTCCTCCCGGTCTTCGGCGACAGGGGGAGAACTTGGTTTGTCGCCTTAGTAAGTCTTTATATGGTTTGAAACAAGCCTCTCGACAATGGTTTGCGAAGTTTTCTGAGGCTATTCAATCCGCTGGTTATGTGCAATCCAAGTCCGACTACTCTTTATTTACTCGGAAACAAGGCAAGTCCTTTACAGCTCTCTTGATTTATGTTGATGACATTTTGATTACGGGAAATGATTCGAGTACTATTGATGCCCTTAAACAATTCCTTAATGGTCGTTTTAAAATCAAGGATCTTGGTGATTTGAAGTACTTTCTTGGGATTGAAGTATCACGTTCTAAGAAAGGGATCTTTATTTCCCAACGGAAATATGCTTTAGAAATATTGAAAGATGGAGGTCTTTTGGGAGCTCGCCCCGTCGACTTTCCCATGGAACAGAATCTTAAATTATCAGACAATGGTGCAATCCTTAAAGACCCGGCAAAATATAGAAGATTAGTGGGGCGTCTGATATACCTAACAATCACTAGGCCGGATATAACCTATTCCGTGCATGTGTTGAGTAGGTTTATGCATGAGCCTCGCACACCACACATGGAAGCCGCTCTTCGGATTTTGAAATATATCAAAAATACACCTGGACAAGGTTTGTTCTTCTCTGCGGAAAATGATTTAGTCTTAAATGCATATTGTGACTCGGACTGGGCAGGTTGTCCAACAACACGAAGATCAACTACGGGGTATTGTATTTTTCTGGGCGCTTCATTGGTTTCTTGGAAGTCAAAGAGACAAAAGACTGTGTCTTTGTCATCAGCAGAGGCCGAGTATCGAGCCATGGCTGGAGCTTGTTGTGAATTATCATGGCTACGATGTTTGCTAAAGGACCTAGGTATACTACATCAAAGACCGGCTCTGCTCCATTGTGACAATAAAGCAGCTCTTCACATTGCTGCTAACCCAGTTTTTCATGAGCGAACCAGGCATATAGAAATGGACTGTCACTTCATCCGGGACAAGATACAAGATGGTTCAGTTGTCACGAGATTTGTTCCTTCCTCCAATCAACTTGCAGATGTACTCACGAAGCCATTAGGAAAGGATACTTTCTCAAAGATCATTCACAAGTTGGGAGTTCTCAATATCCACTCTCCAACTTGAGGGGGAGTGTTGAGAAGTCAATGATATCATCCCTGATATCTTGGCTTAGTTTTAGGAAACTATTTTGTAAATTGTTTATAATTGATTTGAGAATATCTGTAAAACCTAGAATGTAGGATAGGTTACCTATTTGGTTAGATCTCTCTTTGTATAAAGACTCTAAGAAGCAATAGAAGAAATTAATCTTCTGAAATATTTGTGGTACGATTTTACAGAGCGTGTATGGCCGTTGGGCTTCACATGTGGGGCAGCTTGCTCTAATACCATGAAGAAAGTTTAGGTTCCACCATAAAACCAATAGGCAATATGGGGAGTAGCCCAATTTACTTATAAACGCATGCAAGGTCCATCCTCTCATCAATGTGGGACGCATTCTCAACACACTGCCATTGACAGATATTAAGGGAGTGAATGTTGATTTCTTGTCATGTAGAATTTTTTTCAATCTTGTTATAGCAAACTGTAAAGAGAAACTACATTGTTAAATAATGTTATTTGTGTATGACTTCTGAGAAAGCTGAATTGAGTAGAAATATTAATTTGAAAGAAAATTAACTATTGAGTTTGGCCCTCGTTTTCAATTTCCATTTGTGGTTGCAGCTTGTAATGTTATTGTGGGGTTACTTTATGGTAGTCTTTAAAGACCCTGGTTCTGTTCCGGAAAATTGGAAACCTCTTATAGATGAGGAAAATTTGGAGGCTGGTAGTTCTCTGACTTTGTCAGAAAATATCGAACCCGAGGCTTTCACTTCAACACAATCTTCAGGTGGAGGAGAAAGACGACCACAAGTACAGTATTGTAGTCCATGCCAAAATGGCAAGCCACCACGATGCCATCATTGCTCTGTCTGTAAGCAACTTTCTGCTAACGTTGACAATACATATATTGTTTACATTCAGCGATCAGTGAAACTGTCTATTAAGTGATAAAGAAAATAATTTTGTTTTCTTATATGCTCTGTAGGTCAAAGATGTGTACTTAAGATGGATCACCATTGTGTTTGGGTGGTGAATTGTGTTGGTGCACGCAACTACAAGTTTTTTCTTCTTTTCTTGGTAATGCCATATTCCTTTTCATATTAATTTACTTGCAGTCACGAAATAAGAACTTTGTGTAGATTGCCTTCCCCACCAAATTTTTTGTCAAAGGCGCCAGTCCCACAAAATCTAGGGCTGGGAACTGGAGATGTTTGAGTTTTCTTTGACGTGTGTGTGCGTTGGGGGAAGTGGGGGTGGTATAGAGACATGGGAAATGACAATTGATTATGAAATAAATACCTTCTGGTGTGCAAATAAATTAAAAGTGGGGATAATTGGCTATTTTACTCTCCTTTTGTTTTTGCTCACTCTTTCCAGTTTCTGTTTGTGCCTTGAAAGCTTTATACATTTCTGGAAACGACGATGGATACCTTAGTTTTGCTGCCAAATTTTATCGATTTTTTCTCTGAAGCCATGGATCATTCCGAATCTCCTGGCCATCTTGCAGTCGTTTTTTTGGCTTTTGGTAATATTCCACCGAGTAAATCATTGGTTCTGCTTTCATTGTTTACTTGTTTCTTACAGATTGTTTACCATGTTGCAGTACTTAATTTAGCCTTTGCACTGAGTCTTCTTTGTTTTGTCGTTATGCATGCGTCCCTTCTGTCTAGCAACACCACTACAGTTGAGGTAATACACTCAACTGCTACTTCTTTTTACCAATTTTGAGATTTATGAATATTTTTGCAGTTTGCACTTACCATTTGAGACCTGAATTACCTAATGAAGTTTTGTTCATTTGGTTATTACATTCTGCTTGAGTTTCTGTATTACTTTTATGAATTCTTTTTACATGCATTGTACAATAAGAATTTGCTATAGTTGCCTAAAATGATCCAAATTTTCAAAGTAATCTGAATCTACGAGGAATTTTATAATGCCACATATTTATCATGTCTTATTAGATCGTATAATTATATGCCACTATTTGAAACAATGTTTCAGGTTCATGAAAAGAGAGGAGCAATCGGATGGAAGTATGACTTGGGCAGGAAGAAGAATTTTGAGCAGGTGGTACTCTCTCTCTCTCTCTCTCTCCCCCTGTATGTAAGTCCTTCTTCCATCGGACATTTGATGATTTTTAACTCTTTCCCCACCCTGTAGGTTTTCGGCACGAAGAAGGCACTGTGGCTGTTACCACTGTTCTCAAAAGAGGATTTAGACAACGTACCTGCTCTTCGGGGACTGGAATTTCCAACACTTTCAGATACTGATGTTTGATGCTTGGTGAACTCCCATACTTTTACCTCCCACCAGCCGTTTAAATATTTTTACAGACTCATACATACTGGTCGCATTGGGTCTAAAAAGATGTGTTACCCCGTCGCCAATTTAGTCAACTTAGTCTTTTAGTTAGGAGAGGATCTAAATTTGAGTCGTGGTTTTTGTTTTTTATTTTTATATGTTGGCTTCAGACCTAACAGGAAAACTCAGTTTGCAACGCATCAATTGTTCTACAGGTAGTTTTTCTGCTCCATTTTTTGCCCCTCGTCCAAACTATGTGTACCCAATCTCTTGGATACGGGGAAAGAAGCCGTGTTGAAGTAGTCGCGTCAAAGATATTACACTGAAATCTTCATAAATCTATATTGATGTGTAGCTAAGTTTGCTCTACTTCCTCGAACTATTCGTTGCCGGAAATTGTGATTTCCAGTAACTCATTCATAGTGCATGGGATGTTCATGTGCACTTGGGGTGATAATTTGGATGTCCAGTTGGCTGAAAACTGGGTTTATGTTATCACCAAATATTTTCTGATCATAACTCAAGGCGTATGTGTGCATCACTGGTTAAAGGAAGTTTTGATTAACTTCCTCCCTCTCTTCTTTCTTTCAATTTTACCGGTTAATCTTTACCAAAAAAAAATTGGCTTATTTTTAGCTACGCTGTTGGAATTTTATTTTGATCTCACTTTGCCTTCTGTAACTAAAAAATCACTACTTTATTCATTGAAACTTGCGTTCCATTTGACTTGTGGACTCTCTCTTCTCCCTGAAACTTATAGGTCGACTCCTGAAACATATGTGGAACCTAAAACACAATAAAATTGTATCACTTGTGCAACAAATTTGATTATAAATCTCGATTATGTGTTGACATCCAACAATAAGAGAATATTAAGTTTAAAAGAAATTGAAGAGATGAAAAAAAATTTTGATTAGCTTGGCGCACCCAAATCAAACTCACATAAGAAATTAATAGATTTAAGATAATGTGGAGCGGATTTAGAATTTTATAGAGACAACCTTCAAATTTCAGGGGACAAAATGGGATCAAAATCGAGTGTCAGGAGCCAAAGTGGTGTGAACTAGGAATTTCAGAGAGTAAAATTGTGACTTTTGAATTACAGGGAGTAAAGTGAAATTAAAATTAAGTTCCAAAAACCGTAACTAAAAACAAGCCAAACAAGTTTCAGGTAGCATGAGTACTTAGTCCCAGCTCTTAGAGAATCTTCAGCGGAGTCCCTATATATGGATAATCATAGTATAAAATGAGTATAAAACAAATATAGGGACAAAATGAATCTCTAATATATCGAAAAGTGAGTCCCTAAAGTATATATAGGGACTCACCGGATACTTGGTGTATGTACCCACATATAGGAACTCTATAGGTACTGAAATGGTGGACTCAATAGGACAATTTAAGTAGAAAAGCAAGCGTTTGTCCCAATCACATGACCTTGTCTTTTTTTTTTCTTTTCTTTTCAACCGTTTAAAATGGAGGGTCTAGATTGATTCTTGCTTTTCAATTTTTTTTTTACCATTGAAAGATTAACAGTTCCAATTAGATAACCATTTCAATTTAGGTTACTCTCTCATGTTGGTTTTCAAGCTCTTTTGTTTTCTCTTTTCATAATGCCCCAGTTGGAATATTAATATTTTCAATTTGGGTTACTCTTTCATTTGTTATCTCATCATTCCTATAAATACCAAATTATATAACCAAAACTTACCACAACTTCATCTCCTATTCTCAGTTCATTCGTACTCAATTCACTCATTCTAGTTACGTTTTTGTGAAGAAAAAAAAAATTAGTGTCAGAATTTGAATTTTTTTGGTTAAAATGTTCACAAAAATATTTTACAAGAACATAATGTTAACATAAATAAAAAATGTGCACTTAATAAAATTATCACATAAAATTGTAAAATCTGTTGTAGGCATAATTTACTGAACAATTATGGAGGCCTTAGAGAAAGGGGGTGCGGCAATAGAGAGAAGAATAGAGAGATGTGTAATTGTGGGTGTGTGTTATCTCACCCCATTGTGCCTTTATTTATAGTAGTAGGAAGGGTAAAACATTTCCCTTTAGGATTACAACATTTAATAGGTAATCTAATCCTAATAGGAATATAAGATACATTCTCATATTTCCTAGGATTTACACAATCACATTCCTATTCTAAATAGGACTGCAACACTCCCCCTTGAGTGTGTAAATACTCAAGTAAATGGCGCATCAAGTCTTCATTGATGAAGTAAGTACAGTTGATGAAGTCGTCGACACAATGGGCAAATGCGAGTCTCAAATCAATGGAAGAATGCATAAAAAGTAAAACTCACAAAACCTCGCTATGGTAAAACCCAAGATGGGAGAAAAACCCATAGTCTAAGGAGAAAAGTGAGAAGTTGCATTAAGTCAAAATTATACGTCTTTTGGATGTAATTAGAAGAGCTCTCAAGGGTATGATCAGCCCAGGATGGGTGCCTTGTTAAAACCTAGTTAGGTAGCAAAAACCCAGTGGGAAAAATGCTTCTATTCGTAGGGAAAAAGAGTACATTAAGATCAAGTGAGTATACTTCTGGATACTCCCCCTGAGTTTGACATAACTTCCAAATGAGAACTATAAGCATTGCATATGAGTAGTTAGGCATACCAATTCCTCGGACAAGCTTCTGGAAGGTTGACTTCGGCAGTGACATCGTGTAGAGGTCGGCAAGGTTGTCTGGGATCGGTTTGCATGACTTCAATCTCCTGATGCTTTGCTAATGTAGATGTAGACGCAATATGTCTTGGTGTTGACTTCGCTGATGTATCATGGCTTGGTCAGGTTGATACATGTGGCATAATCTTCATGGATCGTCGTTAAGACTCAACGATGAATGAAAATATAGCAAGTACTTCGAATATGCTCAACAAGAACTCCTAACCATGTCTCACTTATGACATAGTGAAGTAAGGTGAGTCTTGGAACGATTCGAAGATTTCGCAACTAGGGTCATATCGTGGACCTCCAAGATATTGCGATATCCCTAACGGTAAAGACATAACCATTCGGGGATTTTACCTTGTGCGGGTTTGATAAGTAACCAGCGTCAGCATAACAAACAAGGCAAGCATCATTTCGAGAATCAGGGGGGTTAAATCCGCTCAAGATGCGTTGAGATTTGCCCACGTAATACCTTCAGGGTATGTCTTTAATACCAATTCAGTGGTTACGTGTAGGCGCGGTGCTGCATCTTTACCAAGATCAACAGCGAAGGAGATGTTTTGTCTAAATACAATGAGCTAAGTACAACGAAGTGCAAAGTTGAACTTTTAGATATGGAATTTCGGATTCCACAGACTCTTCAAGAGTCTCATTTGCATATAACGTATGGACGATCATGGGTATACTCAAAGGTGACACATTCTGGGTGTAGTTCAACTGGTAGACTAAAATACCGTCAGAACAATGCTTTAACTTCAAGTCAAGGCATAAAATAGTTTTCCTAAGATCCTTCATCTCAAATTCCATCTTCAGGTGCGAGGCAATTTTCTCAAGCTCTTCCAGAGTCTTAGTGAGATTCGTGTTAACGACATAAACTGTAACTCTAGCAATTTGGAATAAGACTTCATAGTTTATAACACGCAAGGGCATAATTCATATCCTTGACTGATCAAATAATCACTTAGACGGGTATAGCACATCCGTCGGATTTTTCAATCCATAAGTGAACACCTCAAAACGAGTTAAGAGGGTGTTCTGTGGTTTGGAACTATTTGAACCAGTCCATGTAATTCTTCGGAAACTTACACGTAAATCTCCTTATTTATATCCCCATGGAGAAATACTAATCACATTTCATAATGCTGCTATCAATCACATGACGTTTTGAGAGAAACCTTGTGTCGTAAGGCGTGCATCATATCGCACTATTTCATTCATCTCATAACGTTTCCTTTCCCACTTGTAACTCAACAGGGTTACCTTGGGCAGTGTAGGAACTACAGGTCCAATACACACTTTGGTAAGGAATTTGACCTGGATTGTAACTTTAGTTGTCCAATCAGTTCTACATTGTCACTTAATCAACAGAACATGGTTCGATATCGTCGCTTTTCATTTATGTCGGTAGCTATCATATAAGTGAAAACATCATCGATTATAATCTCATTTCAATTCCATTTTCTCATCCAAACTAGTATACTGGACCAAGAACTTTAAGTCTCGGGAGTAATCCGGATTAATCTCATAAGATGGAAATGATTTGAGACAGCGATCGAGTTTAGATTCATTGTTGTGCCGTGTCTTCCTCTTCCAGGGAAGTGAATCCTACGAATCGAATGATATGTCGTGCTCCAGGCCAAGACATATTGATTGGCTATCCACCGGTGTACCGGACCGTCTAACATGGGCGGCATACCCTCCAGGGATGTTGACTCGACGTCTGTTAAGTACGTCTATCCTTGCAGGCATGTTTGCAGCTGGTATATGATCTCGTCACTTTAGCTAGATCAGAGGAATGCGTCTGGAGCAACATTCTGAAATCTAGAATTCGTCGCACTTGCTTATCATACTTGTGCGGTATGGGGATCGAGATGAGACATAGTGGGCAATGTCCATGCAAATTCGCGCCGTTCTACAGGAACATTGACGTTCTTATCTCCCCCTAACGGCGGGAAAACTGTCTCATTAAAGTGACAACCCGCAAATAAGCGGTAAAGAGATCGTGTGCAAAGGCTCGAAGAGAGCTAGTGTGAAGGAGAATCATGATCGACAAAAGATACACATCCTTCTTTGAGGACCCATGGTGGTACGTTGCGGTGGCGCAACTTGGCACATGGAATGCGCACCCAAATGCGTAAATACGAAAGTCGTCAGGTTCGTACCCAGTAACCAACTGTAACGTCATATAGGTTGGGTGGCAATGGGCCTCAAGGCGGACCAACATAGCTGCGTGCAAGATTGCATAGCCCTAGGCAAAGACCGAAAACTTGGTACGTTTACCAAAATTCGGGCGATCATTTAAATTGCACTTTATGATCGCTAGGCTAGGCTATTTGGGGTGAACATGGGAATGCGATGTTCAATTAAAAACCCAAAATGACATGCAATACTTTATCGAAAACTGTCGATATAAACTCTCTAGCATTATCTAGTCTTCTAGACCTTAAGGGATAAGTAGGGTGGTGAACCCTTAATCGGCTAAGAGGTTTAGCAGTAATGTGTGTGGACAAACATGTGACCAGTTTGTCGATTCATCAACCAAAACCATAAATATTTATATGGTCCGCATTTTGGTTGGATTAGTCCACATATATTCCATTGAATCCACTGCGAAAATGGAGTCGTGTCGTATCTTTGCAAGAAATGATATAGAAAATCAATTTCCCTAATGAGCAGGAT